TAGAAGCTTACTTTATTACACTTTTAAATAGGAGCTTATCTGGGATGCTAGCATATATAGAAGCTTATTTTTATATCATGCAGTATATATTCGGGATGCTAGTATATATAGGAGCTTATTTTATTTTTTTATATCGTGCAGTAAGGAGAAGGGCTTTACGGGGGCCTGGGCTTTCCCCGGCCTATCACGAAGGCGTTTGAGTTGATGATTCGCTCTGAAATTTCCGCCTTCAGCTCAGAGACGACCTCCCTCCCGGAGATGCACACGCTCCTGCAAAATTTTTCCAGGTACGCCGAATTTAGCGCAAAAATCTCCTTTTCAACCCGCAGGAGCGTGGGAACTGCCATTTTCCGGAACTTTTCCTCGGAGTTCAGCTGAAAGGAGCTCCTGAAGAGCCTCCTGGGGTCGCTGGCCTGCTCCTCAAAGGCCGCCATTTTCTGGAGAAGTTCTTTCCTCTCCTGGGAAAAGGCCTCGATGTTTTTCAGGATCTCCAGCTCCTGCGCCAGAGACTCTGCGGTTTTTTCTACTTTTGCCAGGATGTTTTCCTGATCTGGAAATTTAAGGTTTTTGATATTTTCAGGCACTGCAAATTTTTCGCAGGGCATCCCCGAAATTTCTTCTACTTGGCCTTGCACCTGGATCAGGGCCGATCTTTTTAAGGCGTAAATTTTTTCTATCGCCTCCCTGTACGCAGCCTCCATTTCCCGGACCCAGGCCCCGTATACGGCGGCTCTTCTCACGGGAGTTTCCTCCTCTGGAAGCTCCTCCAGAGAAGCTCCTGTTCTTAGCGCCAGAAAATGGGCTCTGGCCTGGAGGAGGGCGGCTGCCCTTTCAACGGCCTTCGCAGTCTTTGAAAATTTCTCCTCCAGGGATTTTCCCAAAGAATACGAAATATTTTCCAGAATAGGAAATGCCGGTACATTTTCTCGCTTCGGAAGTAAGTCCCCCAAAGCCCCCTTCAAGCGAATCGTCTCTGCAGGCGGCAGGTGAATCTCCGCGAGGGAAAGACTCGCCCGATAGTTTATCTCCTCTGGAACCCCCTGGGATGCCGTGAGAGTGCCTGAAAATTCCTCAGAAAATGCAAGGATTTCATCGATAAAAATTTGCAGAGATTCCAAATCAGGAAATTCCATTTTAGGAGACATCCCTAGATCTCCCATTATTTTTTTTATATTCAAAATTTTTTCATCCGTTAAAACCTGAATTTCCCTCTCCCGCGCCTTAAGCCCTGCCAAAACACGCTCTGCCCTGGAAATGGCTGCTTTCGTCGTCATTTCCCCCGCAGAAAGTTCTTCCCCGGGAAAGTCCTCCCCCAAAAAGTCCTCCCCAAAGCCCGCCCGAACTTCCTGAATCTCCTCCAGAAGCTGCAGGAAAAGGGAGTTTTGAGCCTCGTATTTCTCCGTGAGAGAGTCCAGCTCCCTCGAGAGAATGGACTCGCGGGCGTGCAGATTCCCCGTGGTAATCCAAAAAGTATCGACGGCACAGTCTCTCTCCGGGCCTCCTCCGACCTTTTGAGAGGGCTCGCGGAGAGCGTCCAGAAGAGCCCTTCTTTTCCCCTCCATCTCCTCTATTCGGGCACTCTTCGCCTGAACTTGCCCCTCCACCCCCGCATGGACTCTCTCAAATGCAGAAATGACGCTTTTCATTTCACTTTCCAGCCAGTCGCAAGGGTGCAAGTCCATCTCCTGAGGCGGCATTATCATCAGAGAGTATTCGCATATTCCCGCGAGAAGGGCCTTTATTCTTGCAATGCACGGACTTTCCATGGAATAATAAAAGCAAGAGAAAAGAAAATAAAAAATAGTAGAAGCAAGCAAGAAAGAAAGAAAGTAAGCAAGTATGAAAGTATGAAATAGGAGTGAGAAAAGAAAGATAATACTAAGTAGATAGTAAGATAGTGAGTAGATAGTAAGTAGTATAGTAAGATATTGTAGTATAGTTAATAGTAAGATAGTATAGTAAGATATTGTAGTATAGTATAGTAAGTATAGTATAGTAATAGATAGTTAATAGTATGATAGTATAATAGTATGATAGTATGATAGTATGATAGTATAGTAATAGATAGTTAATAGTATGATAGTATAGTATAGTATGATAGTATAATAAATACTAGTATGATAGTATGATAGTATAATAAATACTAGTAAGTAGTAATAGATAGTTAATAAACAATAGTATGTAGATAGTTAATATCTATCTAATGGTAAGTTAGTATTGAGTTGCTCATGATAATAAGAGTCTAACAGTGAGATATTACTGGCCCATTCTATTCTCTCGCACGCACTGCCTCTTTTTTTCTTTTTTCCTCTGCAAATTTTTATGCTCGTAGACTTTACGCGGAAGAAGAGGCTCGTATCGCGGGCCCCCGAGAGAAGGAAGTCCCCCGGGAAAAAGACTATCTCCAGAAAAATCAAACTTTCAGAATCAGATCGTGCTTTAATCGAGTGCAATTCCCTGCTCAATCCTTCAGGCAGCATTTTCAGTGACATTCCCCTGGACCCAGAGAGTGCAGAAATTGCTGCAATTATTTCCCCCTGCAGAAAAAAGAAAAACACAATTTCTCTCTATGAACAGTACAGGCCTGAACTCGACGAAATCAAAGACAAAACCAGTAAATAATTTCCCAGAAAGTGTACGGGTTGATAAATTTCTGGATGAGAAATTCCTGCGGGAAGGAGAGAATTTCATACCCCGAGAGGCAGGAAGGCAGGAATATCGCAAGACCGGGGTCAGGAAAGGGCTGCTATCTCTTTCCCTGGAGGAGGCACTTTTTGAAGCTGCTTCCTCTGGGATTTGCCTGGAGGCTCTGAGAGAGCGCGCGGAAAGTGGAGGATATGCCCACTTCCTGACGTACTGCAGCATCCGCAGAAGTGGATGGATCCTCCTGCGAGAGACTGGGGATGCGACCAGAGAAAGCCCGAGCAGAGAAGAGAGAAAGTCTCCAGAAAATACCAGAAGTAGTACCAGTAATAATATTTCAGAGAGTGATAGTAAGAGGGATAATACTAGCAGTGACAATATAATGAATAATAACAATGATACTAGTTGTAGTAATAATATTTCAGAGAGTGATAGTAAGAGGGATAATAACAGTGATAATAGAATGAGTAATACTAGTAATAATAACAGTGATAATAGAATGAATACTACTAGTAACAATAACAGTGATAATAGAATGAGTAATACTAGTAACAATCTTAATCCTACTACTAGTGATGATAGAATGAGTACTAGTAACAATCTTAATCCTACTACTAGCAATAATCCTATTAGTCATGACAGCATTCCTGGATGCTGTAATAATCCAGATGAAAAGTCTCCAGGGAGCTGTGAGCACAAAAAATATCGATACGCTTTATTTCCCCCAGAGAAGGACTTCAACAGGAAAAAGGCCATTTCCACACGGACCCTGCAGATAGTGCGTCCTGAAGACGTCTTTTCTTTGGAGAGGGCAGGAAATGGGCCCGTAGTATACGCTGTCTCTGACGGAGACTCTTTTGCTCTTTTCGAGGCGACTTCCTACAACTCCGCCGAGGAACTGCTAAGAGAGTGCGCAGGGAATGTCTCCAGAAGAGGGTAAGGACAAGAATACCCGAAGAAGAGAGTAATAAATAGAAATAACCGAAATACCAGGGAATAGTGACTAAGTGAACAATGCATGGATAATACTAGTACTGCTAATAACTATACCTGCATCTTACTACATACTACTTACTAATGACTAACTTACTAATGACTAACTTATTATACTAACTAACTAACGACTAGCTTACTATACTAATGACTAACTTACTAACTATACCTGCATCTTACTACTTACTAATGACTAACTTACTAGCTTACTAATGACTAACTTACTATACTAACTAACTAAGTAACTTACTAACTTACTATACTAACTAACTAATGACTAACTAATGACTAACATACTAATGACTAGCTTACTACTAACTAACTTACTACAATAACTAACTTACTATACTAACTACAATAACTAACATCTTACTACAATAACCAACTTACTATACTAACCAACATCTTACTACAATAACCCACTCACTAACTAACTTACTTACTAACTTGTTATTAACTTATTATTAACTTATACTCATGCCTTCATGCTTTCTTATCCTGATATCTTTGTGTGTTTTTGCCTTTTTTCCCCTATGTGATGCTATTATCACTGTCTGTTTTTCTTTTTTCTTTCTATAAATTTCTTTCTCTCTCTAAAATTTTTATTCTAATATGCCCAGCACGCTCTCCTCAGCACTTGTGCTTTCCTCTGTCTTTAGGTCTGTAAATATAAAGGGGGACTCTGAGGACTTTAAAAGCAAAATCAAGCAAGAAGCAAAGATAACCACCCCAGAAGAGTTTTTGTACGTGATTCGGAGACTTCTGAAATTGCAAGACATTAAAACAATAACTGATCTCTCCCTTTTCAAGGAGGGAATAGAACCCATGTGGGAAGACCCGAGCAATCTCAAAGGGGGAAAATGGATAGTAAAAATCAAGAGAAATACAGCGGAGCAGAGACTCTTTGAGAGCGTTTTCTTGTGGATGGCACTTGTTCCGTTTAAAACCATGGATGTAAACGGGGCTGTGATAAGCGTGCGGGGCCACCACACAATTCTCTCGCTTTGGACGAAAACATGCCCCTCCGATGGGGAGATGCTCGAGCAAGAGGCGGAAATTCGGGAGAAATTGGAGATTAAGCCGGTCATTCCCGTTGCTTTCAAGGGAAATGATGAGTCCCTGAAGGACAAGTCTTCGTTCAGGCACATCGTGAAGGAGAAGAAATAAATGCCACAGCGTACAGCATCACACAAAATGCGGTCTAAATAGAGGAAGTTAATGAATGAATAGATGATTAATAGTAAGTTGGTTAATGAATATGGTTAGTTAATAGTAAGTTAATGAATATAGTTAGTTAGTAATAGTCTGATAGTAATGGATGATAGTAAGTTAATGAATAGTTAATAGTAATAGTCTAATAGTAAGCTAATGAATGAATAGTAAGTTAATAGTAATAGTCTAATGCTAAATCTAATGCTAAGTTAATAGTAAGTTAGCTAATGAATATGAATAGTTAATGCTAAGTTAACAATAAATCTAATGCTAAGTTAATACTAAGTTAACAACAAATCTAATACTAAATCTAATAGTAATAGTCTAATACTAAGTTAATACTAAATCTAATACTAAGTTAATAGTAAGTTAGCTAATGAATATGGATAGTTAATGCTAAGTTAATGCTAAGTCTAATGCTAAGTCTAATGCTAAGTTAACAATAAATTTAATACTAAGTCTAATAATAAGTCTAATACTAAGTTAATACTAAATCTAATACTAAGTTAGCTAATGAATATGGATAGTTAATACTAAGTTAATGCCAAATCTAATACTAAGTTAACAATAAGTCTAATAGTAAATCTAATACTAAATCTAATACTAAATCTAATACTAGGTCTAATGCTAAGTTAATACTATGCTGATTATTAAACTGCTATGACAGTGGATGAAGAAACAATCAGTATATAATAGCGTGAACTCTGCCGTATAGGAGTATATTGCAGCTCCCTGGAATATTTTATTTTTATGGCGTACTCTGTCCAGAGCATATGCGTAGAAAGTGGCAGTTATATATACATTCTCTCGTACGTAGATGGAATGTTTATGAGCATATGCACGCTAATTCTCTACAGGGAGTGTAAAGTCCTGTACATTTCCCACTTTGAGAGTGCTTCTATTGTAAAGGGCCTCTCTAGGATGGTCCTCATCCAGAACTTGAGCCGTCTCTTGCCTGCTCTCGAGTACCCCAGCATCTACATATACGCCAGGCCGATTCCCTGCGTGTTTTTCTCGGGGGAAGTTGGAGAAACCCCGAATAACCCGAAAAGAGTCTGTCTTTTCTGGGAGAGTGTCGTGCACGGGGTGGGATATGCATGCGACAGAGTATCCCACGAGGAGATAAAGGCAGGGAAAGATCCTTTCTCCGGGCACGAAGGGATAAAACAGTGCCTGGGTTCGATTCCTGATGAGCCCATTTCCAGGGTCATGAAGAAGGCGAGGGATTTGGCCCTGGAGGAGATCCTGGTGATTCTGTGCGGGAGTGCTGACTTGCACAGGGGGACTCTCCTTCTGTGTGAATCCTCCAGGGAAGAGGCCGTGCCTGAAATGAAGATCCACAAAAGATCAGCAGCTGATGTAAAAAAGATGCTGAAATTTCCAAAAACAGCGATTTCCCTCCTGGGAGTAGAACCTGAGTGCGAGGAAATAGAAGAGAAGGCGATCCCCCTGCGTCCTCCTGCACCCCAGAGAGTGCAGAAGATCCAGAAAATATCCAAGACCAGAAGCATCCCAAAGGAGCATGCATAGTAGGCAGTATATATGCAG